ATAAAAATTATAAAACGGAAAACTTAATTAATAATAAAATACAAGTAATACAATTTATTCAAATTATTATAAGAAAAGAATAGTTTTTAATTAAAGTATAGAATAAAAAATTCTGAATTATACATATAATGATAAGAGATTAGCTTTTCTAAAATAATAGGTTAATTTATGTGACAATCTGTAAAAAAAACTTTTAGTATATAATTAATTTAAAAAGGTTGTTGTTTTCTAAATTACTTCAAATTTTTTCATTGATTTAATTTATTATATTCTTCTATTTCTTTATTTCTCTTTGTTATCTTTTATAGTATATTCAATGCCTTTAAATAAATCTTTTTCATTTTAATTAGTTTAAATAACAATGAGCACTATACCAATTGTTTCAGTACCGATTGCTTATTAGTTTTCTGAAATCTTCATTATATGTCAAGTGTTTTTATATTAAAAAAGTACAAAAATAGAGTAATGAGATTAGGTTTAAATCAAGTTAATATCCTTTCAAGGTGTTATGAAATTAGAATTAATTGACATTATCAATAGAGTTGTAAGAATGAAACTATAATGATATTTCAGAGAATTGATAATTTTTATAAAACAAATCGAATCTGTTTATTAGTAATTTTTGCAAATAGAAAGTCATTATTAATAAAAATTATTTGAAAATAATATTTTAATAATTAGGTTTTACTAAAGAATTATTTTGCTATATATGACTATTTTCAATAATAGAAAAACTTAAAAAGAATAAAATGTCTAATTTAAGAGGAACGACTTCATTTGAATCAGTAGTAAAAGAACGCCAAGAACAACTATCAGACTTAAGGTCTAAGAAAAGAGAAGGGATGCTTTCTAATAGAAGGTGTATTGATACTGATAAAGTGACATTATTACCACCAATTGAGGAGATAGAATCAGTATGTGAAATGGCAAAACAAGGAGATATGAAAAGTATTTGTTTATTGACTAGATATCTTAATGGGGACCAAACAACTAACAGATTAATGGTTCAACATGAAGTATGTAAATCATTAATTCAACTAATACCACAACTAAATGATGAGGCTGTTCAAGAAATTATTAAATTATTAGTATCATTTACAGCAGAGAAAAATGGAGAAGTATATTCTAAAAATTTAATTGTATCAGGATTATTAGATGTGTTAGACAATTTATTTCAAAGAAATCATGAAGTAAAGAGAACAATATTATGGTTAATAGCAAATATTTGTGTTGATGGAGAAGGAATAATAAATTTATTATTTAATTATGGATTAATACCAAAAGTTCAAATAATATTAGAAGAAGAAAAATACTCAATAGAAATTCTTCATGTAGTGTCATGGATGTATTGTAATATTTGTAGAATAAAATTAGTTCTTGATCCATATAATATGAAAGCAATATTTGACTTTATTTATCAAGCAACAGTAGGAGAATATAAAGTTAAGTTAGATGATTCAGTAATGTCAGATGTCTTATGGTCATTATCATTTATAGCAGAATCACGAGCATATGATGGATTTCTTGAAGATAAAAAGTTATTAAAAGGAGCAATGAATTTTTTATTTTCACCAAATAAAATAGTTTATTTACCAGCGTTAAGATTCTTTGGAAATTTATCAAGTAAAGACTCTAACTTTTGTCAAACATTAATACAATTAAATTTATTTGAAGTATTTAAACAATTATTAGATTCAAATCATCAAATTAATATATTTCGTGAAATACTTTGGGCTGTAAGTAATTTTGCAGGAGATGAATTAGTAGATAACGCATCTTATATTGTTAAAAATACCAATTTTATTGGAATTTGTTGTGATGGATTATTAAATAATTCATTTTCTGAAGATATATTAAAAGAAATGAGTTATACTATTGCAAATATTGCTTATTTTAAATCAGAGAAACATCTTATATTATTACTTACAAATTATCCAACAGTAGTTGCTGCATTAATTTCTATATTAATTAAATTTCCTAATACAAAACAAGTTATTAGTATCACACTACGTTCTATTTTAAATTTATTGGAATTTGGAGTTAACAAAAGGTGTTGATGTTCAAACTGGTTTTTGATTCTTTAGGA